GAGGCCCCGCCCCCCGGAATCCCCCCTGCCCCGCCCTCTGCGTAGGCTTGGAGTCTAGGTTACCGGGTCCTGATTCATCCTTCCTGCTTAATTCAGCCATCATTCATTCACCCATCCATCTATCCACTCATTCATTCACTCTTTCTTCCTTCTTACTTCATTTCATTCATTTATTCAGTGCATTCATTCTTTCCTTCTGCCATTATTTCTTCATTCGTATATTCACTTGTTTTAAAAGAATATTGGGGTCAGCGCGGTGGTGGACTCCCACATGGCCGACTCTGGTTCGAGTCCCGGATCTGCGGGCTTGCTTTCTCACTTGTCCTCTCTCTCTATCTCTCTTTCTGTCTCTCTCTGGTCAAATTAAAATAATAGTAATAATGATGAATAAAATTAAAATAATTATTTAAAAAATAATATTAACTGTCTTTATAAGGTGGTTATCTTTTGGAGAATACACGTGGTGATGGAATGGAAAAGTATTACTTTCTATCCCTGCTCATTTCTCTTGTTTTCTCATCTTTCCCAGGAGTATGGGTAGAGAAAGGGGACACCCAGTGTCTTTAGGTTTTACCATAGTGCATGTGTGCTTGCTGCAGAGAGACAGAGAAAAGGAAAGTGAGAAATCACTCCCCTGGAGAGAATGGCCATGCCACAAGCCCTTCTCTTCCATTGTCCTCCCCGGATTTTGGGCACACATGCACATGCACCTGGTGTGATTTTCAAGCCCCCCAGATCCAGGACTCCTACTGCAGTCAGCCATGTGGGAATCCAGAGCCCCAATTCCTATGCCACCTGCTCGCTGTTTTTAAAGGAACAGTTGTCTCCTTGTATTTAGGATCACGTCTCCTAGGGCAGCTTCCGCGTTTATATACAACTGGGCATGAAGATGTGATTTTTGCAAAGTGGGTTTTCTCAGGCAGACTAAAAAGCAGAGTGGTGGTGGGTTTTCCTCTTCCTCTTAGGGTGAAGCACTGGCCTCTGGTGGTTGCAGTATCTGGTTACCCCCATCCGTCAGAGAAGTTTAGTTCCTCATGGTGGGGCCAAAATGGGGAGGCCCCAGACATGCTGGGCTACCCTCTGTTGAGCCTCTGTCACAGCCCCAGCCCCAGCCCCAGCCCCAGCCCCAGCCCCAACCCGGAAACAGCTTTCCTTTCTCCTTGTCTCTGCTTCCCCTGGGCCTCGGGAGGCTGTGGGAGAACCCTACCCACAGGGGAGCCCTAAACCAGTGCCTGATGGTTTCCACCTTCCTGGGTCCACCCCACTTCTCCAAGTGCCATCAACCTAGGGCCAGCAATGCCCTTCAAGGGTTGTCTGCAGGGTAACATCTACCTCAAGTGTGGACAGCAACTAATCAGCTTCTCCACTGCCCTCCCTCTGCAACCTTATTTTATTCATCCATTCATTGACCCATTTCCCAAACATATTTACCTGCCCGGCATTGTTTTCTGTCCAGGAAGCACAACCGACTATCACAGAAATGAAAATAACCAACAAACACCACCTGCCGCTGACAATAAAGATCTCATAAAAGATCTTCAAAAAGCTCCCTGACAGTTCCAATGCAGAGTGGTCATGCTAAGATGGGAAGGAGAAGAGCATCTCGGAGGGGGCGCACAGTAGGGCTGACTGTCCAGGGGAGCGAGGGGCAGGGAAGCTTCCATTCGAACTGGAAATGGGAAGGAGAGAGGAAAGAGAAGAGGAGAGAAGGACCTCATCTCTGGGGAATGACTGGAGACAGAAGAGTGGGGCGAGGGGTGAGGAGAGAAGATGACCCACTGTTTCCATCTCCGGGGAAGACCAGTGTGTTGAGCACGAGGCAGTGAGGAGCCCTGAGGGGGAGGCCCATGGAAATTGAAGCATTCCTTCCCTTGGGATCACTGTGGTTACGGATGTTCTCAGTCTCTCCCCCGATGTGTTCCTCTCCCAGTCTCAAAAGCTGGAACAAATGTACAGTTAAGGTCCAGGCCCAGATTAATTGGGTTCAAAACCTGACACAGTCATCCCCCTTGTAGTGCTGGGAGGCTGAGGCCCAAAGAAGTGAGTCGAGGGACAGACAGGTACACTGGTGGTTAACAGCATAGCTGGAGCCGTGGACCTGATGGCTCAGAAAATATACCAGGTGCATGTGCGCATCTGTCCAGATTCCAAGGAATCACAGTGTGATCACTCCCCCCGGGAGGTGTTTCCCTTCCTTAAAAAAAGCAAGATCTAATTGTACTTATTATTTTTAAAAATTTGTTATTGGGAACACACACTCACCAGAGAGAGAGAGAGAGAGAGAGAGAAACCAAGCCCCAGGTCTGGGACTCGAACCCCATGACCTGTCATGTGGAAGTCTAGTGCCCTACTACCAAGCCACCTACTGGCCCCTGGGGCGTGCTTCTTTACTTTTCCTCTTCCTCTGTCTCTCTCCTGCAAGCACACACACTGTATGGCAAAACTGGAAGAAAACAAAAAAAAGGTGAGTTGATTTGTCTGAGGTCAGTCAGAAAGTGTGTAGAGCTAGATTCTTCTGACCTAATTCAAACTTTCCTTTTTTTTCCCCCAATGAAACCTTTCCTTTATCAAGCTCTAAACCACTTGCCCTCAGCAAGGACACACGAACTCAGGAGTGTGCTGTGAAGGTCCTTCCAATTCAGAGGCTTAATTTAAGACAAACGCATCCCAACCCAACCTGGTGTTGCCTTAAGCCATAACAGGTGTGTGGCAGCCCCTTCTCTGGCCACATGAGGTCAGCATTGAGTCACCCACTGCTCCAGCGCCAGCACCTGAACTCTGAAGCCCTCCTGTCACTCCAGGAATGGGGAAAGGGGACGTGGATGGTAGTGCTATCTGGAAGGATGACCTGGAGGACCTGGATTCAGGCTGCAGCGAGGTCCTGGCCCTGACTTGACCTCTTCAGCTCCAGTCTTCTCTGAGGCTGATCCCCGCCAGTCCTTTTTCTCTGACGTTTTCTGGTTCCCTTTGTTGTGCCCCACTCCCACTCCCACCCACCCCAGCTAGGCGTATCTTTGGGAAACAGGCTTGGTTTCCATGACAACCACCTGGTCATCTGGCTCCTTCCACCGCCTCCCCCTTACTCCCCTTTTCCTGGATCTCCCAGGGAAGAGTACGGTATATGAGTGGAGAAGGGAAGGGTGGTCTTTTGTCTCTGGGGAGCTCTGGGGGTGGCCAAAAGGAGTGAGCCTGTCCTTCCTCCAAAGCCTCCTAAAGTGGAGATGGGAAGGCAGTGAGGACGAGTGTCAGAAGGAAGATGATCACAACTAAGTGAGGAGAGTGAGGAGCCTGGGTGAGGAAGGGCCGGGCTTAAGACCTGCTCTCTGTCTGCAGTGAGGGCTGAACTCACTGGAGTGAGCTAAAACCACGAGAGGCTCTGCAGTGAGCTGTGAGGGAGGCTTCCCTAATGCACGGGTGGGAGACATTGGAATGAGCCGCCTAGTGAGAGTTCTTTTCTGTCTTGGGAGTGAGTGAAGACCCCCACACCTGCCCCCTTCAGGACCACACCCCTCCTCTGTGTGGGCCGGGTAGACAGACTCACTGACCAGTAGAGGCCATGCAGGCTGGGTAGTTCTGAAACAGGAGGCAGACAAAGAACCTCCTTCACCTTACCTGAGGAGGGAAGAGTAGGAAAACGGAGGAGGGACCAGAATAGGAGGGTGGAGGCTGTGGCTCTTCTGCCCAGAGTAGGAACAAGAACATTCCAGGCAGATCCGTGTCCCTGGTGCCCTATCCCAAAAGATAAGATAGCCAGGCTTTGCCTCAAGCCAACTTCTACTCCCACAAATTCCCCCTGGACTTTTTTTTTTTTTTTTTTAGAATTGACACCTATTGTACGTTTTTATAGTACAGTGTGTGTGTGTGTGTGTTTTAGTACACGAATACAATGTGTAATGATCAAATCAGGGTAATTTATGTATCTATAATATTCAACATTTATCATTACTTTGAGTTGGGAAAATTCAACATCGTCTCTTTTAGCTATTCTGAAATATACAATGAATTGTTGTTGACTGTAATTACCCTACCGTGCTATAGAATGCTAGAATTTGCTCCGGGTCTGTCGGACTGTGATTCTGTATCGTAACTAACAGCTCCCTCGCTCCCCTTCTCTCCTTCCTCGTTTCTATGACCACGATTCCATTTTCTGTTTACACAGGGCTACCTTTTTAGCTCCCATGTATGACTGACTGCAAGTGAATTTTCTCTTTCTGTGCCTGGCTTTTTCTGATGATTATTTATGTATCATGTTTTCCAGGCTTCTCCATGTTGACTCAAAATGACAGGATGGTATTCTTTTTGGTGGCTGAATAGCATTCCATGATGTGTATATAGGCCACATTTTCGCTATCCATTCATCCATGATGGACACCTCAGTTGATTCCGTACCTTCGCTCTTACGAACAGCGCTGCGATAAACATTAAAGTGCAGGAATCTCCGCAATGAACCACTTTCTTTTCCTTGGGTTAGATGTCTAGTAAGTAGTGGGATTGTTGGATCATATGGCAGTTTTATTTTTAGTTTTTCGAGGAAACTCCATACTGTTTTCCATAATGGCTGCATAATTTACATTCCCACTGACAGTGTAAAAGAGTTCCCCTTTCTCCACACTCTCACCAACATTCCCTATTGTTTGCCTTTGATAATAGCTGTTCTAACTAGAGTGAGATCATCTCTCACTGTGGTTTTGATTTGCATTCCCCTGATGATTAATAATGCTGAGACCATGGACTTTTTTTTTTAAGAGAGATTTTTGCTATAGGGCGTGCACACTCACCAGAGAGACAGAGAACGTGAGAAACCACTCTGGAGAAAGTGAGAATTCGCCCCCTGGGGGGATGGCCACATCCCAGTCTCCTCTCCTCCATTTTCCTCCTGAGATTTTGGGCACACATGCACTTGTGCCTGGCGTGAGTTTCAAGCCGCCAGGTCCAGGATTTGAACCAGAGCTGACCATATGAGAGTCCAGTATCTCAATCACTATGCCTCCTGCTGGCCCCAAGACAATGAACTTTAAAAAAAAATTTTTTTTTAAAGAATTATTTATTTATTTAATTTCGTTTATTATTTTTATTTTTTAATTTGACCAGAGAGAGAGAGAAAGAGAAAGCGAGAAAGCAAGCCACCAGGTCCAGGACTCCAACCATGGTTGGCCATGTGGGAATCCAGCGCCCTTATCCACCACACCGCCTGCCGGCCCTGACAATGGAGTTTTGAATGGGAAAGATCTGAATTTGGGACAAGCTCTGTGAGTCCTAGCAGATGGCCTTGAGTAAGACACCTGCCCTCCCTGAGCTGTGGTTTTTTGTGGTTAATCGGGGAGAAGAGCTCCTATATGGCAGCGACCCTAATGACACACAGTAGGGTGCCTCAGGGGCTGTGCACGCACAGACTGATCTTGCATGGCCGTCATCACATTCTGTCATGAATGGTTTCTCTGTCTGTCCCTGTTACACTTGGTACTCCTGGAGGACAGTGTCTCACTTCCGTGCAGGGCACACGAAAGGTGCCAAGGGTTACGGAATAGATGCAGCCATGGATGAGCGGATGAACGAATGAACATCCGTTTCCTTCCTGTCCTAGAGAATGCAGGGAAAAGCTGTGTAGGTGAATGGCATGAAGGGGCAGTCTGCCTGCAGTCCCTCAGTGTGGCCTGTGTCTGTGACTGGCCTTAGAGATTGTCCGGTCAATCCCCTCATTGCACAGATGAGGAAATGAAGGCTCAGAGAGGGGAAGGCACTTGCCCAAGGTCACAAAGCCGTTAGTGGCACACCCACTTAGACCTCTAGCCTAGGGCACTGTACTCTTCGTTGCTTCCTGGGCTGTTCTTCTAGGGAAGGAAGATGCCCAGAAGGCCGGTTCCAGGGTCCTGGCCCCTGCCCTCAGTCCTTTCTCTTAACAAGCTGCAATCTCCCGCTTCCCCAGTATTCCATCCCGCCTGAAGTCTGGCTCCTGCCTTAACCCTTTCCTATGCAACTGGGTATCTCCCGAGGATTCAAGACTCAATTTCCTCTCCCAGCCCTCGGCTCTGGGAACTTGCGGAAAGCCAGGGTCGGGGAGGGATGTTGGTTGCAGGGCGCTCCCTCCACCGAGGAAGATGGAGAGGAGTGGCGGCATACATCTTCCCAGGATGGGCGGGAGGGCGTGAGGTGCGCTGAGGAGCCAGGAAAGGGTGTGGGGAGCCCCTGTTGCTTCTCCCCTTTGGGGGTGGTTAGTAGGTAGGCTTGGGGAAGGCGGAGTTTGGGGGGCCGGGGGCGGGGCTCAGCTGCGCTGGGAGGAAGGGGGGTGCGCGCTGGCTCCAGCTCCG